GTTGGGCCAAAGGAGAGCTGCCCTGTCTAATCCTGCTTGCCTTCAGCATGGTCATTTCTCAGGATGGAGCAGTGCCTCCATTTTGGTTCCCCTAAAATACAGAGCTTGAGTCATGAGGTTGCCATACATGTAATTTATTTGGGGAAATGTTCCCAACACAGAGGACTCAAGAACTGGAAAGAGCAAAATTAGAAAAGAGGATATGGGCAACTGGGGTTCAATACTACTGGGGATCCTCTGAGAAATGATGAAGCATGTCTTCCCAAAGCATGAAAAATGGGAAAACATTTATCTGTTGGCTCTGGTTTCTCCTGCGAAACGGATGTTCCATGGCAGCAACAGAGAAACGGGTCAGCAAGTGAAAAATACCTGATGCAGCCAAGGCAAGGAGCTGCCAGGTGACATCTGCAGGCAGCAGAGTGCTACAGCATTGACTGATAAATGGGTCTAGAAGACATGAGCACCCAGATTTGACTGCTTGCTAAGTATGAAAGTTTCCATAGTGATTACAGGGAAAACGGAATTTAGCCACCAAACCTTTTATTTTTAAAGATTCTGCTGTTTCTTTAAGAATTGTTGCTTGCATATGTTTAAAGACTGTGTAAAATCCTGGTATTCAACTTTTGGAAAAAAAATTGGCTTGGAGGAACACTTGTTCCAACAAGACAATGAATTTGTTTACTTTTCCAGGCCATAAAGTTCTTGTGCTTATAAATTTTGAATTTTGGTTTATGCAGATTTCATTGATACAAGTGGCATATTAAGGAGGAAATAACTACAAAAATTATTTCCTTTCTCTACTTCATTAACAAAAACAAGTGATTTTGATGAAAATTTTCATGAATCAAGTTCTGTCTAATCTGCAAATGCCCACTGCTACCTGACATGCTTCATTCTCTTCATTCTCTTGGCAGCTCCTGTGGAGTTCTGCTTTTTGTGAGTGCACTCTTTGCGTCAGTTTTGGGTTGGGTCTGGAGATGATTACAACAGAAACACTTATATTTTTCTTCAGTTACCAGAACTAGATGAAAGATTTGCACAGCATGATTAATGATGAAGGCAAACTATTTAATCCTATGAAACATGATGAAGTGTCCAAACTTGGCAATAATATTTTGGATTTTCATATTTGAGCAAACAGACACTAAACAAAAATTCAATTTCCTTTCTAAAAAGCTAGCAGATTAAATATGCATGGCCACTGATTTAATTTTGGTGATCTAAATGGATTCAGAAAGAGAAATTTTTAACAAATAAACATTTTATTTTGGAATAATTTTAAGTTTATAAAATTTGAAAATTTGATATAGTGTCTGTGTACCTTTCATCCAGTTTCCTTTAAAGTGAGCATTTTACAATACCATGGTATACTGGTCAAAGCTGAGAAACCACCATTGGCACATTGCTTTTAACTGAACTCCAGATTTTATTTGGATTTTGCCAGTTTTTCCATGAACTTCCTCTTTCTGTTTCAGAATGCAAACCAAAGTACCACACTGTGGTGAACTGTCATGTCTCCATAATTTCCTTTGGACTGTGATGGTTCTTCAGGTGTCCTTATTTTTTATGACCTTGATAGTTTTGAAGAGTATTACTCAGCTATTTAAGATTCTCCAGTTTTGGTTTGAAGTGTTCAAGCATGTCTTTCTCATGGCTAGACTTGGCCTATTAATTTTTGGAAAGAGTAGCAAAGAGATTTGCTGTTCTTATGACATCATATCAAAGCCGTACATGATATGCACATGACATCACACTGATGATGTTCATCTTCCTTATTTGGTAAAGAGTAAGTTTGCCAGGTTTCCTCATGAGGAAATAAAAAAAAATAGTAAAGGTACTATTTTATTTTTGAGAATTGGGCACTTCAGGAAAATATAACAAGCTATTTCAATGCCACAAGAGAGTTATATTGTTAGTGAAAAACACTATGGAGATATGACCATATTGCTGTGTTTTCATTTAAGAATATGTAAATTTGAACCATTCATCTAGGGCAATAACAGATTTTTAGAATAATTATACTCTTCAAAGTATTAATTATATATCACAGAGTGTTTTTATCATAGTATAATGGTTAAAAGCCATTTTATTTGGATTGAATTTCCAAGCTCAAGGATGTATGACCTTAGGCAAGTGACTTAAGCTCTCGGCCTCACAGTTTCTTTATTTGTAACTTAAAGGGCCATAGACATACCAATGCCTACTGATATTGCAGATATCAGTATAAGTACAGGCTTGTTTGGAAGACTGAATGAGTTAATATTTGTAAACTTCATAGACGAGCACAAAATAAATGCTCTGCTCTTTGTCTCTGGTGCAGAGGTTTAGCAATTTGCCCTCGGTATGCAGCAGTATCGTAAAGGAAGCAGCATATTTTATATTTACCCGAAATCCTGTTAACTCTTATAACTTAACTCCTTTGTTAAAGAAAAAAAAGCAAAATTTTAGTGACCCATGAATGTTTGTTTCATAGACAAAAGTGAAGAGACATTAGAGAAAAAACATCTCTTCATGCCTTTTTGGCTTTTATGAACTTTATAAAATGAGCATGTATTACAACTACAAATGGAAAACAATCCAATGTGTTTTTCAAGTTTTAAAGAATAATTTCCATATTTCTGGAGATTTCAGTTTCCCATCAAATCCCAGAAAAAGAATGATAATAAGTGAAGTGATCACACAAACTTTCAATTATTCATGAGCTAGTCACACATTTAATAAACTTCAGATTATATGTCATTTCCTATTTCTTACTACTAATTTTATCTTCCTCTAATTGTCCTGATGTTTCTCTTTGAATCATATTGCTGAATACTAGAGTATTTTTAAAAAATAGTCATTCCTTTTGTACATATTTTCAATAAAGAAGATGGAAACTATTACATTCGAACTCCATTTTTATATACATGAAGTGATTGAAATAAACCAATGATCCATGTGAACGTTAACAAGTAAAATTTCATCTAAGTGCACCTCCTGGTAGAGTACATATTTGTCTTCCTTTTTGAAAGCCTAATACAGAAAAATTATATTTCAATTTTTGCAAATTCTCAATTGAGTTTCTATTTTTTCTAATTTAGAAGTTTGCAGCATTGATTACAGCTTGAAACTGCTAAAGATATTTGTGACGCTGTATTCTGGTCTCCATTGGGTCAGTGCTTTTCTTTTATCCTTTCTGTCAAGAAATATAAGTAATCAGGAAGATGTGAAAAGGAAAATCATTTAAAAAGACTGGAGTACCTATACTATCTACAGTGTCTGTTTTAAAGAAACAGCACTCTAGCACACCTTTCTACCCTTGATTAAGATTACTGTAATGAGAGCACCAGTACACCTGAGAGCACCAGTATCCCTGAGCAGCAGTAACCAAAGGGCATTTCGGAAACTGAACTTTTGATGTTTATATGAATATTCTTTCTTCCAGGACCTGCCTTGATTTCTTCAAGACTCATACTTCTGTATATGGTGTTGTATACCTTTGGGGATGGTTGGGTAGCAGTAACTGATACAGAAAATTTTAAATGTGAGAAACACTGGGGAGTGAACCTTTCCATTAGATTCGTTTTTGTTTGTTTGTTTATAGAAAAATTCACATCAGGTCGTTTCTGTTTAGGCAATGTTGGAAAACCTATTTCCATTTTATTTATTTAACAAACATTTATAAGGCACTTAAATCCATGGTGGCTCTTAAAAATGTTGACTCATTTCTCATAACCGCCTTAGGGTAGAAATCAGAGGCTAAACAACTTGCAGGTGATGCTTCGCTACTAAACGTAGGTGGCAGCCTGGCCTGTGTTCTCGGCTTGGCTAGGAACACAGGTCTTACCTCTTGAGCTGGGCTGTGTAGAACTCTGTTCTGGAGACATTTTTCCCTGGGGCAGTGGCCTCTGCTTTTTCCACCTCCTCGCATCTTACTCCATGTCTCAGAGAACTCTAAATCCCACTTGGAGAATCACACTTAAACCCTCTAAAAGCCTAATGATGAATAAAAATAAGTTCTCTAAAACTGGAGAAAAATATAATAAAGGTACCAGGTTAAATGACTGAAATTCCTGAGAGAAAACAACAACATGTGTGTGTTTCTCTAGAAAGGAGGCCCAACACTGAATACCAGGAAGTCCTATAGTAAATGGAATGTGACTCTAAGTGAAATCTGGCGTTCGTATTTCATCCGAATGCACGTCCGCTCCTTCAGTGGGAAGAGTGCTTGCACACCAGGTATCCGCTCCCTGGTGTCTTGGGATATGCCCTCTAAAGACAGAACCAGGAAGGATGAGCCCATGAGCCTGCTGTATCCAGCCCCTCCGCAGCTCCAGAGTGGCAACCAGTCCGTGTTTCTAGATCAAATCTGAACCCCTCCTACGGGGAAAATATTTCCAGGGGATTTTGGAAGTTCCAACATTTCAGAGGGAAGAAGGAAGTTACGCAGAATACGAAAGAAGAGGTCATGCTATACAGCCCGGCTTCCACTGACACTAACACTGGATTCAACTTTTGACACTGATAATCTGTTGCCACCAAATGGAGAACATAAACAAGATATTCTAAGTGTGATTAGAGAATATGCAACACAAGGAACAAGAAGAACATTCTCTGGAATCTCACATGGTGAGATTCCAGAGAATGTTTCACTATAGAATGAAACTGTAGTTTCACAGAGAGTATTGATGTTAGATGCATATGAAATAGGCTAAACTCCAGACACAAATCCCGAGACAAAACTCTCTCCCTCCAAAGAGGTCGCGCCTCCCTTGTCGTGGTTCTTAGTTCTTTCCCGGCTCGCGATCCCATATTTTGGGATCACCACGCGCCCAAAATCCCACCTCTTCACGCTGGCTGCCACGCAGTCCCCCTCCAGGGATTTGGGGCACAAGGCGAAATCCGAGTCTCGGAGTCCACCGGAGTTACTCTGGAGGGCGACGCGCGGGCACCACCAGTGGACCCCCCCCCCCCCACCTCACCCGCACCCCAAGCGCTCCACCCGGGGGCGGGGCCTGTGTTTTCCTTCCGGACTCCCGATCGATCAGGAGCTCCGGGAATTTCCCGGGCCAGGGGGCTCCGGGCTTTCCAGCCCTAACTATGCATAAAAAGGTTTCGCCGACCTCGGGGAGCCACAGATCCCGGGCCGCAGGCACCTCCCCGCCAGCTCTCCCGCTCCTCGCACGGCCGCCAGACCCGCCTGCTGAGCCCCATGGCCCGCGCCGAGCTCTCCGCCGACTCCAGCAACCCCCGGCTCCTGCGGGCGGCGCTGCTGCTCCTGCTCCTGGTGGCCGCCGGCCGGCGCGCAGCAGGTGAGTCCTGGCGTCCTGGGGACCCCGGGGCGGGACGCAGCTGGGGTGGGCGCCCCCGCCGACGGCCCCGCTCAATCAGTGAGTCTCTTCTTCCCTAGGAGCTCCCCTGGCCAATGAACTGCGCTGCCATTGTCTGCAGACCCTGCAGGGAATTCACCTCAAGAACATCCAAAGTGTGGAAGTGAAGCGGCCGGGACCCCACTGCGACCAAACCGAAGTCATGTAAGTCCCGTCCCGCGCTGCCGCTGCCACCGCCGGGCCCAGACCCTCCCGTTGCCGCAACCCTGTCCCCAGCCCGACCTCCTGCCTCACGGATTCCCTTCTCTCTGCAGAGCCGCACTCAAGAATGGGCAGAAAGCTTGTCTGAACCCCGCATCCCCCATTGTTAAGAAAATCATCGAAAAGATTCTGAACAGGTGAGTTATGGTTTCCACGTACACAGGCGACAAGAGCCGTTGGTCAGAAAAAACTGGCATCTGACCCCGAAATAGTAAATCAAAAAAACCCAAGGGTTAGCTGAAGGACTGAAAAAAATATTATTTTCACAATTAAAGTTTCCTTTAAGATAATTACTGCTCTAGTGCCAGAGGATATTTACAGTGCCCGAGGTCCCCACCCAGTTTCTTCCCTCGTTCCAGTGAACGTAGGTAAAACTGCCTTCATTTAACTTCTCACTGGTTCTTGCCAGTTGTGCTGAAGTGTTTCCGACTGTTAAAAAACACAGGCTTCATTTCCCCTAGTTCCTACTGGGCTTCAGACCTGAAAAGCAGACCCCCTTGGTTAAAAGTTTAGGGGTGAACAGCATAGATTTCACAATGATATTGCACTGGGTACACATCTGGGTGCCACCACGTATTAGCCATGTCACTCAAGACAATTATTTGGTTTATCTGAGTCTCAGACTAACAGGGAAAATAATAGTAGCTACATACATCATGAGGTTGCTGTGAGGCTTAAGTGAGGCCTAGTATGACAAAGAGCAGCAGGTTCTTGCTGTTTTAAAACCAATAATACAGTGGAGACCACCATCCTTGCCCCACCCCATTCCTAAAAGCGCATCCCAAGCCTAGCGGTCCCTGACACACAGCACAGCTGTCACCTATGGTAGCCACTTGGGTGCCAGGCTGGGGACACTGCATTCAGAAAACTAGACCCTGGGGGCACAGGACAGGAGAGGAGTGTTGTGCAGTCCGCTTTCCTGAGCACCTACTCAGGGCACCCATTTTCTCATTACAGTGACAAACCCAACTGACCAGAAGGAAGGAGGAAGCTCATTGGTGGCTGCTCATTAAGGAGGCCCTGCCCTTATAGGAACAGGAGAGGAAAGAGAAGACACAGCTGCAGAGGCCACCTGGACTGCACCTAATGTGTTTGAGCATCGCTTAGGAGAAGTTTTCTATTTATTTATTTATTCATTAATTTGTGAAGATTCTATATTAATATTTTAGGTATAAAATAATTAAGGGTATGATGGAATCTACTTGCACACTGTCCCAGAATATTTTCTTTTTTAAATGTCAACCCCAAGTTAGTTCTATCTAGATTCGTATTTAATTTGAAATAATTAATAGAATGTTTTCAAATGTTCTCCAGTCATGTTAATATTTTTGAGGAGTCTGCAACATGCCAGCCACTGTGATAGAGGCTGGGGGATTCAAGCAAATGACCAGTGGGATCATTGTAAGGGCAGGGGAATGTATGTTCACATCTGTTTTGTAACTGTTTAGACAAATGTCCGTTGTTATTTATTGAAATGATTTCACAGTGTGTGGTCAACATTTCTCTTGTTGAAACTTTAAGAACTAAAATGTTCTAAATATCCCTTGGACATTTTATGTCTTTCTTGTAAGGCATACTGCCTTGTTTAATGTTAGTTTTACTGTGTTTCTGTCTTAGAACAAAGGGGTTTAAATATTGATATTTACATCAAGAATATAAAAATAAAGCACTTTAAAATGTAAACTGTTCATTTAATTTTTGGGAGCAACAAGGGCTAATTTTACTGGAAAATCCGGTGATTTCTATCAATATTTCTCAGTGTTTTTGATTTTTTTTCTTTTCTGTGTGTTCAATTTGCTATACAGATAAATCAAACTATGACTTATACTTCATTTCATGTGGTGATTGCTGCCAGTGCCCTTGGCTTGCACCTAGTGAAGAATGTGCTTTACCAAACTATGGGTACCCTGATGGGAGAGTCACTGATATAAATTGCCCTTTTTATAAGAAGTTTTTTGTTGTCTTGCTACTCAAATTTACCTCCTTAAAATATTGATATTATTGTATCTTTACAAGGGCTCTCATTTCATTGCTTTATGATATTTCTTATAATTATTGACAATATAATGAAGCTGGCAATGACATGGTGGCTAAAATATTTCATTTTTCAAAAATCATTTAAGTAGTAAATAGAAGCAGAAGTGAGTGGCTAAAAACTTCACCTGTGAAAAGATCTTATTGAAATTTGGACTCAACTTTCTAAACTTCACAAAATATAAGCAGTAGCACTAAGATTAATGTGGTTTCAATTCTTTGTAGCAATATACAAAATATAATGGTTTTAAGATTGGACTGCATTAGTTCTCATCCTTCCTAGTAGAATTTTGATGGGACCTCATAGAGCGTTTGCCCTCTGGGGAACTCTATATTCAATGCTGCCCCAAGATGACAGCAGCACTACAGGTTTGTAGGACAGAAACATAATTGTTATGTCAAAGGAAGAAAGACCCCATAATGTAAAAGAAACCACACTCCAAACCTGAAAAGGAAGGATGTCCGTGCATTGGTGAGGTGTGTACTTGTTTCTGATTCAGGACTTTTTGAGGAAATCCCAAATCCTGGGTAACTGCCCCTAATAGAGGCAAGAAGGTGAGGCTGGCAGCCTAAATACTTGAAATCAAGTTCTGGATTGTCCCAAGAAGCTGGGCAAACAAAGGTCCTAAGTAGCAAGAAACAAACTGAGGTTTTCACACAATGAAAAAAGTTAAAAATAATAATCTCTTCATAATTCTAAGGTTATTAGTTAATTATAAATGAGATGAGAAAGAAGAATGTTTGTAAAATGAACCTGAGTAAATAAATGCAAACCATTTGAGAAGCTCCATAAATGGTAGCATTCACTCCCTAACCCCAACTTAGAGGACACTGAAAAATGTTTACAAGTAGTGCCCAAGGGTTCAATAAAACCACTCCCTACAGTTAAGATAAGTCCTTCCCCTGAAACATTGGAGCTTGCTGTACTGGCTACCTAGCTTTTGCTAACATGGAACAGGGAACATAAAAAGGACGAAAGAGACGCTTTTATTCACACGGTGGTTAAAGACTGATTTCAAACGATCAGATTGACTTTGGAGTAAATTCCAGCTCTGTCACTGTGATCCTAGGCAAGTTTCTTTACTTCACTCAACCTCATTTCCCCTCTGTAGAATGAGGATAATAATAGAATGAGTCTTCTGAAGTGTTGCAGGGATTAAATGTTATGGAGGCTCTGAAAAGCTGGTTCTTGCCATTGGTCATCAGGCCAACTCCATGGACATTGTCTAAATCTCAGTCTTAGATCAAGTAGATATGTAAATTGTGGTTTTCACACCAAATTGCCCTGAAAATTTGCAAGTACAAGGCAGTCTCCTGTTGGGCGTGTTATGGCAGGAAATAGGTAGGATACAGCCTGTTTGAGGTGGTAGTCACAGGGTGAAGGAAGTAGGAAGAGAATATTACATAAAACATCACAGTTTTGAGAGATCATCAGCAGGAAATAGCACCACAGTGACTGACCACAGTGACTGAGGTTTCCTGAGCAATATTACTATGGGAACTAGAAAAGAAAAGAAGGAGGGGTGGCTAACACTATCCTGTCATCGTGAGTCCTCCTGAGACACACTCTCAGGACTTTCAGAAGTAACTGGAGAGACGTTAAGGTATGGTGGAGGTGGCAGACCCATAATAGCACTGTGGGGGGAAATCTAGAAAAACAGATCACACTGTTAGTATTGTTTGGCTACCCAATCACATAACTTTTTTTTCCTCTGAGACACAGTCTCGCCCTGTTGCCCAGGCTGGAGTGCAATGGTGTGATCTTGGCTCACTGCAACCTTTGCCTCCTGGGTTCAAACAATTCTTCTGCCTCAGCCTCCTGAGTAGCTGGAATTACAGGTACCCGCCACCACACTCAGGTAATTTTTGTATTTTTAGTAGAGACAGCGTTTCATCAAGTTCAGGCTGGTCTCAAACTCCTGACCTTGTGATCCACCCTCCTCAGCCTCCCAAAATGCTGGTATTGACAGGCATGAACCACTGTGCCCAGCTCCCAATCACATCATTTAAAAAAGCGCCTTTCTTGTCTTCAACAGTGATGTCCCACTCCACTCACAATGAGTTCGACAGCTGCAATGGACACAGCTTCCCAGCTTAAGGCACCTGGTCTTCTGCATCTCTTCCTGGGGGTTTTCTCCATTGAATTGTGGGAAAGGGGTCTGGGCAGAGAGAGATTTCTAAGCCCAAAAGCAGGATAGATAAGAGTTAATGGATGAATATTCCAATTTCCCAGTCTCTTGTTAGACAATTCTAGAAGTTTCTCTATCTATATATATGTGTGTGTGTGTTTAAATTTTATAGTGTGTATTAAAATAAAATGAATAAATATTAAAAAGACAAACGCATAAATATACGAAATGTTCCACTTCTCTTTTTATGTTTACACCTTCTTTAAACAACTGAGCATATTTAAAACAGTTATTTAAAAATGCTGGTATGCTAAGTTTATCATTCTGTCACTTCTGAATCTATATTTACTTAATTTTTTCTTTTATTGTAATTCATGCTGTTCTACTTCTTAGCATGTATAATCATTTTCATTTGACTGCAGGAAATTTTGAATCTTATGTTGCTCAGTGTCAAGATTTGTTTTCTTTCTTTAGAGTCTTGGGCTCTGTTCTGACAAGCAGTTAAATTCTAGGGTATCGGCTTGGTCTCTTTGAGGCTTGTTTTTGAGCTTTGTTAGGGTGGTCTAGGAATGTTCTTCATGCTAGGATTTGTTTAGCTGTATTACTACGTCACGTCCTTCTTGTGCCATTAGTGAATGCCCTGAGTGCTCACACATTCTCTCTACTACGACAGGGCAGACCTCAAATATCCCCTCATTCCATGCCAGGTCTGAGATTTTCTCAGCTTACAAATCTCTAGTTACTCTTTGCTTGGCTTACGGAGTTTCATCTCATGCACGTGTGACTTAATATTGATCCAAGAGACCTAGTGGGACCTCAATGCAGATTTATGGAGTTCTAGTTTCTTGCATAGATCTCTCCTTTCTGCAACTCTTTTTCCTAAACTTCTGGCCACCCTAATTCCCCTGAATTCAAATTTGTGCCCCCTCAACTCAGTAGGACTATCATGGTCTACTTTGGATCTCTCCCCCTGCACCATGGTCCAGAGCTGCTCCAGAAAAAAACCAGGATGATTATACAACCTCACTCTGTTTAGTTTTTTTTCTGAGGAATTCTAGTCTTTTTCTACTTCTTGTCCAATGTCTGGTAAAAGTTGATTCAACAGCTGTTGAGTTTTCTAATTGCTTAAAACAGGAAGTTATGACTTATGTTTTACTTCAACATGATTGGAAATTGAAGTCTTAGTGGGACAATTCTGAGGAAGATTTTTACAAGGTTTCTCTGAGACTCCATGGGAAGATGAAGCCCTGATTTCCCACAGTAATATCTCATTCATTACATACCCTTTGTTAGATTTTCTGTCTTCCCTCCCCCACATTCCCCTACTCCCTCACTTGTTCTTTCTATGATCATCTCTAAGATAAACTACTGCACATAAGCCTTTGCATTAGACTCTGTTTTGGGGGAGCCCAAACTTAGACAATTAGGTCCCCCAGAAATTAGACCTCACAGTAAATGCTTATGACTACTATTTTATTTTATTAGGGAGTATAATGCCAAAGAATAAGGAGGAAGGAAAATGGGAAGTGAGGCAGAAAAAGGGAAAGCTCCTAATAGAAAAGCGCATAACGATACTGGCCATTGCTGCACACAGCCGAGTTCTTGACCTCACAAAGGGGCTGTTGTGTTTGCTTTCTTCTTCTGCAGAAACTGTGAAACCTGCTCAAACCAAGAAACTGTAGTTGTTGTGTTTATAGCAGAGTCATAAATCATTCTAACAGCAGGGCATCAGCCTTTGATTTCTATTCCTTGGTTATGCCTAAAATAAAAACCTGGAATCTGGATCCATAAGGTCCTAAAGCAGAAGAGAAGAATCTACCAAAACATAGCCAGGACTTCATTTCACCTTTAAAGAGTTAGTACTTCAACTGACATTTTTGTTTTTCACATTTAACATGATGAATCTTTTCTTTTTTAAGTGAAAAGTAGTTAAAATTCTTCCTGTTGCTTTCAAGAATCCCCTAAAAAAGAAGCCAGATCACATGGAGGGAAATAAATAAATCAAATGTTAAGACAGGAACTGATCCCCTGGCAGCCAGATAGGAGTTTGGTTAAAACTTGAGGGATCACAAAAAAAATAAAATCAGCCTTCTCATTTTAAAGATGGAACCGCAAAGTCTCAGAAACCACCAAGGAGTCACCAAATGCCATGGAATTATTTTATTACAAAAGTGGGCCAGAGTTCAGTTTTCTGATGACTTATACAGTGATTTTTATTAAACTAGATTATTATTATGACTGCTTAAGAAGATAATTAGCTAAATTTTGGCTGTAGTATTGGCTTTCTAAAATGTGTATAACCATCCTCAGGGTACTAAATAATAGCTAAAGTCACTCCTGCCATGTGCCACTTTAGGATAGTTTAAAGGAAACATTGTGCATATTGTAGCCAAATAATTCAAAGTATAAAATTAGTTCAGCCAATCTATGGGATTGGCTAAATTACTCTATTAGTCATCTATTGTGTCCCCCAAAATGCAGTGGGTTTAAAGAGTCACCATTTTATTCT